AATAATACCAACCGTGCCCCTGTGTTCGAATCACAGGAGTCTGACGTTTAATAAAAAAAATATAACAATCTACATAAATATACCCCCATATAAAAAAACAACATTATTTAATGTAGATTGTTATATTTATTTAGGCTTTGATTAAACGTCAGACTCATGTGGTCGAATCACAGGTGCCTGGATCGTTTTAGAAAAAAAATAAAGTAGTATAGATCTACTATATGAGAGTCTCATGTATAGTAACTCTACTATAATATTTTTTTCTAAAACGATCAGGCACCTGTGGTCGAATCTCCTACTAGGCCGTCTATGTCCCTGGTTGCCTGGCCAAGGCGAACTCCGGCATTAATAAATGTGGACTTGGTGGGGCAGCAGTTCATTAAAATATTAACAATGACTGAATTATAGTTAAATTGCCTTAACCAGTACCTGTAATGAAGTGATCGCTGCATGTATAAAGATATTTTGTAGTAGGCTTCTGTCACAGTCCCAACCATACTTTTGTATATTTTACATTTTTGTATATATCAAACAATATCTGAACTATTTGTACATGTATTCGATGAAAGAAATCAGGTATTATCTGGTCTAAATATTGTACTTTTATTTTCTTAATTATTTGCTGTAAATTTTATAAATGCGGATTCTCCGGATCCGAGTTCGAATATTTGAAATTAGTCTCGCCGGAAGGAAAATATACATGTAAGCGAGAACAGCGGTGTAAATTTTGGCAGTCAGTTATTGCTTATATGGGGTTAGCCAACGCAAAATACAGTTTGCGGTAAGTTTGAAATCATTTCTTGTGCCTTTATAGTGCAATTATATGCCCTAAAACTGTTGTGTTTGATATTTGAGGCGAATATTTATCGATAAATGTATATGCTTATAACGCTATATGAGTACAGTTCAATATATCTCTATTATAGCTATAAGATATCAACTGTTATATGAATTTAGTTTGTATTTAATAAATATAAGCGAAAGTTGTCAATATGTCAATGAATTACATGGAATTCAGGCTAGAATTAGTGAATAGATTCATATCAATTACTGTATGTAGGCAGATGAATGTATATACACAAATAATAGTTGAAATAGAAGAAATACTGTGTATAAATATTTATGAATCATTATAGACTATATAGTCAGCATAGTCAGACGTAGTCTTGTGTTATTGCAGTTCTACCCATGTTGATAGCGGGAACGAATGTGACACAGTCAGAATACATACATATATAGAATACAGAGTCATATGTGGGCCAGGACAGCCGCCAGTTACAGTCCTGTGTGGACAGATGCTATGATGTCCTGTGTGGGCAGATGCTATGATGTCCTGTGTGGGCAGATGCTATGATGTCCTGTGTGGACAGATGCTATGATGTCCTGTGTGATCAGATGCTATGATGTCCTATATGGTCGTGCAGATGTTCTAATACAGTCGAACTTCGTTAACTCGAACTCGGAAAACTCGAAGACCCCGTTTAACTCGAAGCACTTTGTCGGTCCCGGCAAAATCTTCTCTTTATTCTAGTAATCAAAACTCGGAAAACTCGAATTCGGAAAACTCGAAAAACTCTGTTAATTCAAAGTAAAAATTTGGTCCCAACAACAAAACATATACTGAATATGATCGGAAAACTCGAAGTATAAATTTTGTGCCGGTCAATTACATTGCTGATGCGCTACGCCGTTTTGCAATTTTACCGACAATAGGCTTTACAAGTGAATATTAATGAACAATACTGTAATTAACAATATTCATGTTTTAGAAAAGTGTTTATTGTTATTTAATTGAATGATAAAAGGTAACCGTTAGATCTTATAATTGATAGATATCGGCGATAAAAAGTGAAGTTCTACTCACATTGCGTAATTTCCGTGTCTGTCAGCCATAACAAACACCGACCTGTGTATACACTCAGTGAAGCGGAACTAAGCTATAGAAAACAATCACAACACTGGCCTAGGCTTAATGTTTTTACAGGAGTACGCATGAAACGGTCACCTGTGCTCAATTAAACCGACAAATGAGTGAAACAATTATTTAATTAGCGTCGAAGTACTTAGGGCAGAATTAGTGAGGAGATGTCATGAGTGTCACATAGGGATAAAAGCAGGGGTGTTTCTCACCGAAATCATACCCGTTTCGAAATGTCGAAGTCAATTGAGCAATCCAACGAAGGACCCGGTTTATCCGGGGGGGATACTTGGATCGATTGATAGGGCGAAGACCGGAGTGAAGAGGAAGATAGAGACGAAGACAGTCGAGACAAAGTACAGAGCGATATTAGCCGTGGAAAAGGGAGACAGGTCAAAATCTGACATTGCTAGAGAATTCGGCATCCCAGCAAATACTTTATCGACATGGTTGAAAGCAAAAGAAAAGATCATGACTGCATACAGCAACGATGGTATAAGCCCCAGCAGAAAGAAGGTAAGAACAGCCAAACATGAAGACACCGAGACTGCGCTACTAAAGTGGTTCACGCATGCCCGAGACAACAATCTTCCGGTAACCGGCCCGATGCTGAAAGCTAAAGCCAAGGATCTGGCCGAGAAAATTGGAGAGCAGAACTTCGCCTGTAGCACAGGGTGGCTAGACAGATTCAAAGACCGACACAACATCAGCTTTAAGAAAATCTGCGGCGAAGCTAAATCTGTAGACATCGCCAGTGATGCAATGACAAAGTGGGCCGACGACCTCCGCGTCATTCTGTCCGAGTATCAGCCCCAGGACATATTTAATGCTGCCATATTTTTCCGGCTACCCGACCGTACTCTCGACTTCAAAGGAACCGACTGCCATGGCGGGAAACGGAGTGGAGCTAACTGTCCTCGTCTGCGCTAACATGACCGGTACGGAGAAATTACCACTCTTCATCATCGGCAAGTCGGCCAAACCCAGATGTTTTAAGAATGTCCACTCCCTACCGACAGAGTATACGGCCAACAAAAAAGCATGGATGACCGTCGACATTTTCACCAAATGGTTACACCAGATTGACAGGAAGTTCGCAAGGCAGCATCGCCGCATCGCAATGGTTATCGACAACTGTCCAGCTCATCCCCAGATTAAAGACCTGAAAGCCACAAAGCTCATCTTCCTGCCGCCAAACACTACCAGCAAGACACAACCGATGGACCAGGGAGTTATACAGAATCTCAAAGTCCACTACCGGAAACGACTAATCCTTCGTCACATCAAAGCCATAGATCGACACCAGGAACTACAGATCTCCGTCCTCGACGCAATGAAACCTCTGGCTGTATCCTGGAGGTGTGTGACTGAGACCACGATTAAGAACTGTTTCCACCACGCAGGATTCAAGATTTATGACAACCCGGCACCCATTGACAGCGATGATGATGATGAAGATGACATACCGCTAGCCCACCTACTAAGCCTGCCAGTCCCATTCGACCAATACGCCTCCGTAGACTCCGATGTACCCACTAACGCCACCATGACTGATGACGATATTGTCGACGAAATCATGCAACGTAAAAGCAACAACGCAGATGATCAAGATGATACCGAGACTGTGGATGATGATGTACCCGAACTACCACTACCCACTACTGACATGGCAACAGATGCGTGCGCCCTACTCATTCGAGTGTTAGAGACCCGACCAAACAAGTCCGCTCAAATACAGACTCCCCTCAGGATCTCGGACGATCTCATTCGCGAGGACCTCAGAGCCCAGACCAATACCAGGACTCAATCAAAGATATCAGACTACTTCAGTGACTTTGCGTGTCAACGAAACAGTGAACATTGATAGTGATCGATAGTGTTAAGACTTTACGAACTGGAACTTGGTGTGCTTTCGCAAATAATGTATGACAATGGTGTTTTAATTATGGCCTTAAATTCGAAGACTAGTGCTTATAATGAATGTTCATTTACTTACAGTGCTTTGTAAGTCGACAGGTGTTATCGTAACTAACATGTTGTGTACATGCATACTCTTTAATATAATCTTCCTAGTGTATGCGCCAAATCAGTGATGTTGAGTAACATTTGTTGCACATGCGCAACGGAAGTTTATGTATGTTATCGAAGCAGGAGAGTTCTCATAGTCGGTCATATGTAGTGCTGTTTAGAATGATATCGTAAGTTTTTCACATTGTATGTGTTTCTTAAAATGTTAGATTTGGTTCTATTTTGTTTGTATTATGTGTTTAATTAATGTCAAATTATTAAATTGTGAATGTTGATTTCCGTATCATCGTTATTTATGTAGCCTAGACTCGTGTTGACATGTAGGCTAATCTAGTTCTCGTTAATTAAAAAGGACTGACAGAACGAAATTGATGGTTTCTAAATAATAAGCAAACTGCACCTAATTTAATTATCAATTCTGGTTTTTCAACGATCAAGAACAAAATATGTTTGCTTATTACCGGAATCTACATCAAGCTCGTATATAGCCAAAAAGTGACAAAAAGTACAAGGAACGTCAGGAACATTAAAAATCTTTGCACCAAAACTCATGAACTCGGCTATCTCGAAGACTCGGATAACTCGAAGTATTTTCGTGGTCCCATCAACTTCGAGTTAACGAGGTTTGACTATATATATTATAGTAACAATGTATAAGCATTTATGATGATAAAAGTATTCATTGTAAAGATAGATTATTATTCTTGTTTTTTGTTTGAATAGTTTTAGCGTGATAACATATGAAATATGTATTCACTGAGCACTTCATGTACATCATCTAAGGATTAGTAATATCTGTGATATCTGCTTAATTCTTTGTGTATTGTCTTTGTAGGGGTTTTTTTTAATTAAATGGAATAAAAATATGAAGCGTCGATCTGCGTCCTTCTTCTACACTCTATTTTACAGTAACAAGACTTTGTTTATATACCATACCTGATATAAAATGATCAGAGCACACACGAGTATAGGCATAACTTGATTCCACCAAATCGGATCTGTCGATGCGACATGTTCGGCGCCCTTTTTCTGATAATTCCTGGCATGCGTTTCCCTGGTTCAATATGACCGACGGTAGTCTGAAGAATGACTTGTCCGTGTTACGCCCGCCTTGGTTAGCACAGCCAATAACCCCACAGAAAACTACCATTGTGTAGATTATGTTGATGTGTCACCTTAATTACATATGATAAACACGCCTTGGCGGCTTAATAAAATAGCCGAAGTGCAGTGACGTCACATGAAATGGGTCTATAGGGATGCGAGCCTATCCCTAGCAAGGATAGGCACATACACCAACACTCAAAAGCAAAGACACTAGCTAGGAATACACATATTTCCTCCCAGAAAAACACCAGGAACTGCACACTAAAACCTAGCGAGCATCTTAATTTAGTTACATCTGTGGAGCAAAATTCAGTAAGTGTAACTGTCAATGCACTACCAGTGAAAGCACTAATAGACACAGGAGCAACCATTTCTTGTGTTGCATTGCCAACGATAACTAAACTCTCAGTCAACGTTTTACATTTGCTAAATTCTGATGTAACTGCGTGTTGCTGACGGTGAAATTCATCGTAGTATTGGTGCTATTATCCTACCTATTTCATTTGGCAATGTTACTATATAACAAAAATTTCATGTTTTCAAGAAATTTCACCAGGCTATGATTATAGGTATGGACTTTTTAGAAGCAAATGGAGATATTGTTGATACAGGCACTAAAACAAGGACTCTAAAATCCACCATTGTACCAGCAGAGGCCACATCTCTCATTCCTGTCAAGGTATCTTACTTATCAGCAGGTACTCAGGTACTTCTAGAATCATCACCATTTCTCCCAATGTTAGGATTAGCAGGTGCTAGAACTATATAATTTCTCAAATCGGGCAAGAAAATTGTATTACAAGTTTTGAACCCCACTGAGGTAGATATCACCATAAACAGAAATCAAACTGTAGCTTCTGCATCATTGTATGAGGAAAACTTGGTTCTATCCCTAGACGACCCAGTAGAGCCACCTCCTCTTGATAGTGATAACTGATATTAGCCCTGAAATTTCATTTGATCTTTCAAAGTCTGACCTCTCTGACAAACAACAAAATCTTTCACAGTGCTTTCTTCTGTCCAACCGATCAGTTTTTGCCACCAGTCTATCAGAATTAGGTCAAACCTCTCATCAGTATCACCACAATTAGGTAATGCCCGTCCTGTCAGACAAAGATTATATCAACAAAGTCCTGGGATTAAAGCAGAAACAAATCGCCAGATCCCGGATATGCTAGATAATGACATCTTTGAAGAGTCCACATCTATGTGGCAAAGCCCAGTCGTCATAGTTAAGAAGAAAAACGGTCAAATGCGTTTTGCAGTTGATTATAGGAAACTTACCTCTGTCACTGAACAAATGTCATTTCCTCTTCCAAGATTGGATGATGTGTTTGATTCTATCGGTGAATCCAATGCTAAATATTTTTCCATCCTTGATTTAGCATCAGGTTTTTGGCAGATTCAAATGGACCCTGCTACAGCCCACAAATCAGCATTTGTCACACCATCATGCGTTTTCCAATGGAAGCGTATGTCATTCGGACTTGTCAATGCCCCTGCTAGCTTTCAGTCACTTATAACAAAAGTTCTTAGGGATCTCAACTGGAAAACATGTCTTATTTATGTTGATGACATCCATGTCTTTTCACGTACATTTGAAGACCATCTCCGTCATTTACAGGAAGTCTTTGACAGACATAAACTAGCACATCTCGCCCTGAAACCTAGTAAGTGCTCGTTTGCACAGTCTGATGTCCACTATCTTGGTCATATCATTTATAAAGATGGTGTCAAGGTCGATACAGACAAAACAGATGCTGTCCGCAGGTTCCCTGTACCAACAAACCAAAAACATGTCAGATCATTTTTAGGCCTTTGTAATTATTACCGGTAGATTGTAAAAGGTTTCAGTAAAATTACAACCCCTTTGACAGCACTCTTAAGTAAGGACGTAAAGTTCCTGTGGAACCCTGAATGCCAGAAAGCATTTGATGCTCTTAAAGATGCCCTTACTTCTGCACCAATGTTAGCCTATGCAGACCACAGCAAACCTTTCAAATTAACAACTGATGCATCAGGTGAAGCAATAGGATACGTTCTCGGTCAACTTGATGAACACAGAAGGGAACACCCCATCTTAATCAGCACGAGCGTAAGTATAGCATTTCAGAACGTGAAGGGTTAGCTATCATTGAAGGAATAAAGGCATATCATGTATACTTGTAAGCCATTCAAGATATACACAGATCACAGTGCACTCAAGTGGTTAAAAGACATCAAACCAGAGTCTACAGGGAGACTTGCCAGATGGTCAGTACTATTACAAGGATATCAGTCCTATTACTCAGGACAGTTCAGGGCCAGGAGATGAGCAGACTCCTGTGCCTAGTCAGAAGAAGGTAACAGACCTTTCTGATTTGTCACAAGACAGTAATCCAGACAATGGTGATAATAGTCAGACAACTTATGATGTTGACAAACTGATAGCATGCAAAACTATCCGTGGTAAAAAGTTTTACAAGGTAAAATGGATTGTTTACTCAAACAGGACATGGGAACCAATTGAAAATATTGATCCGGAACTAGTACGTATGTTCCATATTAATCGTACACAGAAAGGAAAGGCCAGAAAAAGAGGCCAACAGTCGCAACTGACTTGTTTTTCACAGTAATTAACTAATATATGGAGTACGGTTCATTGAAATCTATAGAATAGGCAATCTCTATCTTTATTTCTCTCCAATCATTATCATCTGTATGTTAAGAGTTAGCTTAACTGCTAACTAGTGCTTTAAGGTTTGCGCATGCCTTATAACGACATATAAGACACTAATCTTTGTCCTCTCTTCTGTATTCCGTAGATTTCTGGTGCCCATCTCTCATGTGGAAGATAACACTGATGATCCTCATTTGGCTTTCCTTTGCTGTCAGTACAAGTGCACCTATACAACGCTTGAACTATGGCGTGTTGTTTGAACCAACAGCCAAACTACATCTTGGTCAGGAGTTCTAGTCCCACACAATCGAAATTCCGCTTCCAGCACACACCAACATCCCGGAAATTCCTTCATGTAAGCGTAGAACATGTGAATCTGTAAACTCTGTGGTAAAAACAAACAATTTGAGAGCACAGTGTATGTCCGGTGTAAATGCAGCAGTTAGGGATATACACAGATTAGTCCCACATTCATATTTTCCTAACACGCTCTCCCAGGATTCAAGACGCAGTAAACGTGGTCTTTTTGATTTCATAGGCCAGATATCAAAATCTTTGTTTGGAACAGCTACAGCAGCATTCACATTGACCTCAATTCTACCTAGTTTTAATTTTCCAGTTATACAAGAAAATACCACACCAACACCCTTTACTGAACATGTGTACGAGTCACTTATGTCACCTTGGCCCTATGTAGCTCTCTCTCTAATTACCACTATTTTCATATTAGGCAGTATATAATACATTTGGTAAAAGCTGGTCCACTTTCACAGAACCACGTAGTCTAGTAACCGTATGACAGATAATGGCCGGACCTCAAGTTAATTGCAACAGAAACGATTTATGCATTTTTACAATCCTTAATACTTCACCAATACCCACAAAAAAATCGACACATGAGAGTTTTTGGGAAATTCAGAATTTTTAACTCTAACCGTTGTTCCCGCGAGAATAGCTATCGCGAGTTTTTAGTCATGAAAGCTTCCAACAATACATTGCAACAGACTGGAAGTCCCAGCAGAGGTATTTGACTGTTACTTTTAGTGATTCAACAAAGACATGAAAATTGA